CTGGGATATGGACCAGGCTATCTCCTATCACTTCACACACACATACACACACACACACACACACACACACACTCTTACGCTGGGATATGGACCAGGCTATCTCCTATCACTTCACACTCACACACACACACACACACACACTCTTATGCTGGGATATGGACCAGGCTATCTCCTATCACTTCCCCTAGTTCCTTACAACCCAGGTTGGTGAGGACACACACATACACTCTCTCTCTCTCTCTCTCTCTCACTTATGCTGGGATATGGACCAGGCTATCTCCTATCACTTCCCCTAGTTCCTTACAACCCAGGTTGGTGAGGACACACACACACACACACACACGCACGCAAGCACGCACGCACGCACGCACGCACGCACGCACGCACGAACTTAGACATTTAGGTTGGGATATGGACCAGGCTATCTCTTCCCCTAGTTCCTTACGACCCAGGTTGGGGACCTGGCACCGAGTTATCATATATGGTTGAAGCTATAGGTTTCCTCAGGCCTTCCACTTACCAGGTGAACCCTACTAGCACCCTGGAACTTTTCCAGTAACCAGGGAAATCAGCATGTCCCAGATTTGGGGGGCATCTGTCTCTAACAGAATTCCTCAGGGGTCCAGGCATAAGAAGGTTGTATTCTGAGGGATTGGCCCCTAGTGGGCTCCATACACAGATAAGGCCTCCAGTGAGGAGCTTGACGTCATCAAATCCTATGAGGTAGGTAATATTTTAGCCCCATTTTACAGATGAGGGAACTGAGGCACAGAAGGGCCAGTGTCAAACTAGTGATAAGAAGAGGGACTGGAGCACATAACTTTCTGTCCACAGAGCCATGCTCTGCTCCTAGTGGCTGATCAAATCCTACCAATTTGTCAGGGTCCAGCTCAAACATGACCTTCTCCAGGAAGCTGGAGAAGATCATCCCCTTCTCAAAGTACTTATGAGATTTGGCTAACCACACTAACTTATTGACACACTCCCATCTCCATACCAGGTAGACAGAGATTGTGTCTGATTCAACTCAGTATTTGAAGCACAGAGCCTGACAAATAGCATGCACAGTATGGGTTTGAAGAACACATGAACAAGAACATGAATGACTGCCTGGTGACTGCCTAAGACTCTTATGAGGTCCTGAGTACCTTTGCCCATATCTGGGGTGTTGTCATCCTAAGCTCTCTTTCAATCAAATTCAGCCTAGGTTCCTTCTAAAACAGGTCTCAAATGACTTATTTTGCAAACACACACACACACACACACAAACACACACACACACGCACGCACGCACGCACGCACGCACGCACGCACATATACACCACCACACACACTATGGTCAAGGGGCCCAAGAGATCTATGATGATGAGTAAAGAGGGAGAGGTCCAGGAAAGGATGGGATGATGGACAGATGGCCCTGTTCAACTTAGGCTACCTCAGCTCAGCACCTCCTTTCAGAGGCGAGGATGTTCCTTGTACCTGTAGCTCAGGATATTTGCCTCCAGATAGACCTAACATCACCTCTGTTCCTCTTCATGTTTGATAGCTGTACCTAAATCCCATGACTACACCAAAGGGGCCAGGAGGGAGGGGAAGACTGGGATCTAAATTATCCAGAGATTGGGAGGGGGAGGCTTAGGGATCCATATAGGGTGAGAGGGCAGTACTGTTACTGCTCATTGGGGTTGGGGTTGGCATCTGGGTACTTGGTGAGGTCGAAGGTCAAGACTTTGCTGATCACACAGTCCCCTTGCTGAAGGAGGAAGGAAAAAAAAGAAAAATACAATTGTAAGGAGAGAATTAAGAGGGGTCTAGAGCCCCAGGAAAAGGGCCTCAAACCCTCCTCCCTACATGCTTTCCCAAAGCCCAGGCAATGGTTCTCTCTGGGTATGAGAGTGTGTGCTTGGTCCCATGTGCCTTCTCTCCCTACTTGCCTCTGTATTCACCGTTCTCCACTGCCTGGCTGCCTCTGCTGGACTTTCTGCTTATCCCCAAATGGAACAGCCCTGCCTGAAAGGGTTGGCTAAACTGCTGGGGCAGGACTCCAAGAAGCCCAGATGGCTGTTCAGGACGTGATTCCCAATGCTCTGCCACCCCTTGCCCCTTCACTGAAGCTTTCCCTTCCTGCCTTGGGGAGTTAGGCAGAGAATGGGACTGGCTCCTGAGCCAGGCCCGCCCTACCTCAGGATAGACTCCGATGAGGCTTTCAGCCTTGGTGTAGAATTCCTCCTTCAGGGAGATGACAATGGCCTGGAAGTTGCAAGTCGACTGCTCCTTGATGTAATTTGCCACCTGTGGGAGGGCCACCAGGCACTTAGCAGGGCTCAAGCCCTAACACTCTTGTGTCTTCAATCAGAACTAATAGGTAGAGGGGGTGGGGGAGGCAATGGATGGTATGGGAAGAGAGGCTGAGAAAATACTATCAACTACTACTGAGTGAATGACCCTGGGCCCAGCCTCCCTGGGCCCAGAGAACAGGCAGCAGGAACAGCTATGGCACATTCAGATGTTCCATAAAACCCAGCCCCAATTTGGGGGCCTCCCTCCCAGGCCACACCTTCCTTGCACCCACCTTGCCGATGTTGGTGTTATCCAAAGCAGCATCAATCTCATCCAGGACAAAGAAGGGGGCTGGCTTGTAGCTGGGAAGGAACCAGTAGGTGAGTTGATACCGAGAGGGGGATTGGGTGGCAAGGCAGGTTGTGATAGCCCCAATGCCCTTCAAATAAGCCAGCTTCCCCCTCCAACTCATCTGAGACCAATAACCCAATTTTTAATGTTGTCTGAGCCCTTAAATGCCCTTTCATCAACCAAGTCCACCTCTGCACTCAGACCTATACTCCAGGATCCTGTAGAACCATGAAAAACATGTTTCTCTCAAGATCTTCTGGGTTAGCTAAGGAGGCAGACAGAACTGTCCTCAGATTTGGTCATACTACACAAACTATCCAAAGATCTATTCCACCCCTAAGACATATCATGCTGCATGCTTCTTGCCTCTGCACATGCAGTATCCTCTGTCTAGAATGCCTGATAGGCTCCCTGGTAACCTTTTATTCCTGCTTGTGTCACTTGCCCTTAAAAGTCTTCCCTACCCCATATATACCTTCCCCCAGATTGGGCTAGGTGCCTTTCCTCTGTGTATTCACAGCATCTAAGCTCACCAAGATACAATACTTAGCATACTGTGTGTCTGGTTTCCAATAGTCTGTGAGCAAATCCAGGCCAGAGACCATTTCTGACTCATTGTCTCCAATCCTTCCATAGGGTCTGGTATAGAGAAGCACTTAAAAAATGCCTATGGAGCTGGGTGTTGGTGGTTCACACTTATAATCCTAGCTACTCAGGAGGCTGAGATCTGAGGATCGTGGTTCAAAGCCAGCCTGGGTAGGAAAGTCTGTGAGATTCTTTTTTTGTGTGTGAAGGTCATGGGGCTTGAACTCTGGGCCTGGGTGCTGTCCCCCAGCTCTTCAGCTCAAGGCAAGCACTCTACCAGTTGAGCTACAGTGCCACTTCCGTTTTTTTCTGGTAGTTTATTGGAGATAGGAGTCTCACGGTCTTTCCTGACTGGGCTGGCTTTGAACCTCGATCCTCAGATCTCAGCCTCCTGAGTAGCTAGGATTACAGGCCTGAGCCACCGGCACCTGGCTGTCTGTGAGATTCTTATCTCCTATTAACGACCAGAAAACTGGAAGTGGCACAGTAGCTCAACTGGTAGAGTGCTTGCCTTGGCTGAAGAGCTGAGGGACAGCGCCCAGGCCCAGAGTTCAAGCCCCAGGACTGAAAGAAAAATGCTTATGGATGATGCTGTATAAACAAGCACTCCATTGTAGGGGTCAGAGTCAAGTATTACTGGCATTCAGGAGGGGGCGGTCAGGGTATTCTATAAAGGTCCAACATGGCTTCCTAGAGGAAGGAGAAAAGTCATGAAGGGGTGGAAAGTAATAGTCAAACTAGAGTTGCATAGAAAAGGCTTATTAGCAGTGATCATGTGAGTAAAAGCCAGGAAGTAGGACTGAATACATGCAAGGGCCAGTGAGGACATGCTGAATGGGTGAGCATAGATGAGGAAGACAGTCCAGGAAAATCAAGGCCAGATATACTGTAGTAAATAGGGAAACAGAGATACAATCCAGACATCACTAGAACATCTGCACCTCTGAGATCTCTGCACATCCGTGGCCCCCAGTACTTCTGGTAGTCTCAGTATAGTCTTCCACCAATGCCCTGGGAGGGCAGGAGCTTTACCTATGGATGGCAAACAGCAAGGCCAGTGCTGCCACTGTCTTTTCTCCACCTGACAAGTTATCCATAGGCCGAAAGCGTTTGCCAGGAGCCACACAATTGTAGTTGATACCATCCAAGTAGGGCTCTTCAGGGTTCTCAGGGCCCAGGAATGCCTAGGGGAAGATAAAAGGGATCCAGATTGGATATCAATCTTCAGGCAGGGAGACAAGCAGCCTTGAGAAGAGTGATTGGAGAATAGCAGGAGCTGGTTAGGAAAGGGATTCCAGCCTACCTGGGCACTGCTATTGCGGGACAGAGCCTTATAGATCTCATCAATGTTGGTAGCCACAGATTCAAAACAGGCATTGAAACGGTCAAAACGCTCCTTCTTAATCTGTTCAAACGCCTGCTTGGCCTTCTTTGCTCGCTTTCGTGCTGCCTCAAACTCTGACAGAAGGAAGACAGAGATGAACCCTCAGTGCCTTGGGTTCTGCCAAGGGCTGAGGACCATACCCTATCGAGAATGACCTGTGAACAATCCAGAGCAGTGACCTCCCCACAAATGGGAGGGAATGACTGCAGAAGTTCTCCCTTTCACCCAAGAATCTGAATCCAGCAGGCTGGCCGGTCAATAATCTAGAGAAATAAATACGGGACTAGAGTTGAATAAACATCGGAGTCCCCAGGTTCTACCAGCAAGCAGCTGTGTGACCATGGGGAGGTCATTTATCCTCTATAAAGCAAGTACATATCCCACACAGTTTAGGTACCTGAAAGTTTTAATTATAGGAACATGTCAAATCAGGAGCTATTATAACCTAACAACAGGTGCTCCAGTTTTCTGCCCTCATCTAAAACCTTAAGAGAATGCAAATGTTACCATCTGAAGTCTCCTGGAACTTGTCACGAACACTTTCCAGCTTTTCCATGGCCTTCATGTTGGGAGCAGCAATACGCTGAAGTACACTCTGCTGCTCATTTAGCTTCTGTTGTAATGTGTTCATCTCCTGCTTGATCTCTTCCTCGGCCTGTGCATCCTATAAACCCAGGCCCAGCAACAGTTAGGAAGAATAGTGTCTAGGCCCCTTGACATGATTGACCAAGTGGGAGCTCCTATTCCCACAAAAGAAGAGGGCAGATTTTTTTTCCAGCTCAGCTATTTGCACAAAATCTAGACAATACTAACAGTTTCCACCATCACTGGAAATTATAGGCTAATGTTGCTTTCACACTTCTAGCCCTTTCCCCAGGCTCTGCCAATCTCTGTCACTAGAGAAGCAGCTGGTAGTACCCCTCTCTGGCTCTTAGCCTAGGCCATGAGCCAGTAGCATCCCAGGATGGCCCAGAGTCTCCAACTCAGACTACTTTGGATTCCACTTGCAGTTCCATAATAACTAAGGCAACTCACATTTTCTTTTTTTTTTTTTTTTTGGT